TACTTCAAGTCCTGTGCAAAAACGCATGATAGCACGGGCCCGCCCGGTGCGTTCCAGCCTGGGTTTTCTTTTTCACAAGAGCCATTCCCAATTGGCGGAACGAGATAGCCTGTTTGGATACACAGCAGTGCCAAGAAACGTGAATCTCCACACACTAATTTAACATCAAGCAGTCTACTTTTCTCACACATTTGACGAAGTTCATGGGATAAATCCTCCGGTAAACGAAAAATAGCATTGCTATTGTGTATCAGATAGATTTCTTAAAAATTCTTAGTTAAGAAAAACGCCATTTACATTAACCTAAAATGTACGATGATATAAAGATGAAGAATATGTGTTAGTTTACTTCAAGTAAGCAAACATTACTTAATCAACAGAGCAGTTTGCTTAGTTATATAAAATAATAGGATAGAAGGATAGCAGTTACAAGTCTTTATTTTTTTTAATAGGATTTGTTTTTCATCCCTTAGCTGTAGACGCAGATAGAGCTCCGCGTTTGGGTAAATGCAAAAATCATCAACAAATAATCCTATCCGCCGTGTTTTTGATGCGCATGTGATTAATTTGCCAAAAAACGAAACTTGTTTGCTTGTTTCATGCTCAGCTATTTCACTGATGAATAACCTAGGCTGCCACGCACCTAGCTTGCAGATGCAATCATGCACTAAATTTGAAACATTCAAGTCTCTGACAGCCTGAATGGTTCCCGCATTAGAGTTTAGTACGTGGGCTCATATTAATTATGTTTTGCAAGGATGGCAGTGTTGCAAAATGGGGTCGCATAAATCTCCGCCGTGCATAATTATCAATCTTGCATAAAGAGGAATGAACAGTTTCAATGGCCGGTCGTTCATCGAAAAATGCAAATTTGACAATGAACAGGACGTCGGAAAAGAAGGATTGCGAAATTCGTAAAATACACCTACTTTTGAGGTTGCGATAAAACTGAGTTTTCGTCTTACCACTATGGAGGGGATTTAGCTTCCAAACTTATCCGATAAGCGGAATAGCAACTCTTCTGACGTGCGCTTAGGCGTGACGCAAATGCAGAATTGAAACTCGATTTAGGCTACAGTTTCAGAGGCGAACAATAAATATTAAAGCAAAATTACAGCAATTTTCGAGTTTGCACAGAGCCAACTTTCGAACTTTGACATGACCGTACGCGCAACTTAAGCGTGCACAATAACTGAATTCATAGTACTGCCCCTTCGTATTTATACTGTACGCAGATTGTACCATACCCAGTAACAACTCCATTGTCGCCCCGCCCCTCCTCCGCTCGTCTCCCCGCCCACTCTAACTCTCTCTTTCTCTCTCACTCGCTCCCAAGCATTGCAGATTCCGTTATATGAGGCTAATGTTCGAATTGCGATATGGTTTACGTCGAACTCTGTTGTGGTTTAGGGGTTGTTCGCAAGTTTTCCCCGACCGGGTTTTCTATAAAAGGGTGTTGATTGGTTGGGGGTTTTGGTGAGGGATGTGGGCAGACAGGTGATTTGCCCCTCTCCCTTCCCTCCTTTTTCCTTCGGGGACGAGTTCTTCGTGGTAACACTTTGCCGGAAGGGAGCAACTTGACGTATTTGGTTAAGTTCTCGCTATTGACCGGGACTTCCAGGTACCTCAGAGAAACATTTCGGAGGTAAAACCCCGGGATATCTCGGTGTCAAAAGAAAGTTTTTCCCTTTTAAAGGACATTTTTTGTAGCAAAGCTGGTCCCTCTATTATTATCCCTCAAACGGATTTGCTCATTTTGCTGAACAAAATCCCTCAGAATAGATGCCACTTTTCCCCGTTGCATCAAATTTTATCCCTCGATTATTACTTATTTATCGAAAAAATAAAGGGATTTTTCGTTTTTTTTGTTTTTTTTCAGGCGTTTCAAGCCTCCTCCACTCACTCACTCATTCGACGCGGGCACGAGTTCACTGCTCAATCGTGCGTACACGGGATTGGCGCACCGCAACTCGTTGCCTTCGTCACACAATTTTACATTTCGTCTCGAAAATTACCCGTCAATTTTAACGTCTTTCCTTTTCGCATCGTTTTTATAGAGGTTTTTTTTTCTAATTTTTTTTTTTTTTATTTTTTTACATGTTTTTTTTTTAAAGTAATTCATTGAATTGCTAAAGAAGGAACGTGGCGGAACTGCTTGTGTATGCATGTATGTTTGTTTACCTTGGCGACGATTCAGTCTGAGAACCAATGAAAGCTGGAAAGCTGAAATTTTGGAACATTATGATCTTTAGTTCCATACAGGGGTCTTTTTTAATATGCTTTTTTTGATAGTTCTGCGATTGGTCAAAGAAGCAATATGATGGAATGATTTGTGTTTTTATGTGTCTCTCTGTATGCCACATCGGTTCAGCCCGAGAACCAACGAAAGCTAGGAAGCTGAAATTTTGAAATTTAGGTCTTCAGTTCCATATACGAGTCCTGAGACGTTAAAATGAGTTTCTACTAATCTAAAAAACTGAAATTCTGGAACGATGCTCTTACGAGTCCTGGGACGTTAAAAACGGCTTCCACTTCCTGCTACGCTTTATCCTAAAAAATGCGAAAATCCTTCCTCCCAAGACTGGCGACGAGGTCCAGTTGTGGTGCTGAATAGGAATGTATATGACTTAATGGACCGAAAAATCCCTGGTCATCGAATTCTTTAATTTAGTCTTACTTGATACGGCGTTTCCGTCACTGATACGCTGTTGATCTTCTCCAGTGACTGAACAACCGGCAACCAGGCCATCTTAGTTCTTTCCTGAGCTCACCTCATCCAAAATGTTCTTCCCGATTAAAATTTGATCATATTTTTATATATTTTATAATCCGATATTTCTATTTTGCACGCTAGATCGCCCGGCCATTGAAAATTTTTCGAATAAACGTTCTTTACTTCCACTTTTTCTGGAAAAAATTTGTTAACAATTTTCAATTTTAGGGAATTTTTAGCGAAAACTGTTAAAGAATATGAAGTGAGACAGTTTTGGGTTATCAGCAATCGTTGGAAAGAGTAGCATTACCCGCTGGCAAAGTGCAGTAACATAATAAATGAAGTAAAATAGGGGTTAGAAGGAAGTATATGGCAAGGGCATGTCATGTGTCTAGAAGTGTAGCGTAGTTGAGTGAATGCCCTAAGAGAACGCTGTCTTCCGGTCGATATAATTTCGTTCAAATTCGCCGAAAACAACGAAAAGATTGACAGGCCAGTGAACTGTTGGCGCGTGGACGCTTTTCGCTGAATAACAATTTTTTAATATTTTTTAGCTAGCAGTGCTTGTTTTCAACTGGCAAAAAAACCATACGAGAAATATTGCCCCTGTTTTGTAACGAACATATAAAATATCAACGAATTGGCTATGCGCGAATCCTGAGCAATAAAAATGGCAAGTCCACGAACACGTCGTATAATACGAGATCTACGAGCAGTTCCCGGTAATAACGTAAGTCATTGTTTTTTTGCTGGCAATTTTTTTCGTTTTTTCTTTTCCTCTTCCATTCATAAGCACTGCGGCCGTCATACTGACGGGGTCCAATCACCGTGTTGAGTTAAGACGTATATGGCATAATGAACCGAAGCAGCTTACCACACTTCTTATTTGCAACTCTTTGTCTGACTTCTTATTTGCAGCGCATTCATGTTATCAAAATTTCCAGGTGGTGGATTGCGGGCTGCACTGACGACTCCCACCCCCAAACCACACCGCATACTGTCTGTGTTTGCAGCTTGGGGATGAAACACAGACAGCCAGGTTCACACTTAGCTTCCCTACAGGTCCTCTTCACATCTTCTCAACTTTTTATAAAAAACATATGCGTTTTACTACCTATTTCATTTTCTCATTTTGTGGTCTTACGACCATTCATTCCAGGGTTATCATGGTCTCTATGAATTACTTAGTATGTAGATTTTTGAAGTAAAATTATGATTTATCAAGATTGATAGAAAATATCGAAAAGCTTCCAAGACCGTCCAATTAATTGTTATGAAGTTTCCATGTTAGTGATACTACGGGTATTTTCACAAAAGCCTGGTGTATCTGCGCCAGGCTTTTTGTTCCTGAGCTGCAAACCTTCTTCTGCTTGTTCCCGATTAATAGAAAATACAAGAAATATTGCCCTACCTTTGTAGCGGACGTGTTATATCAGCGAATTGGATGTTTGCCAGTCTGTAGTTCTGAAAATCGTGGAAAAGAAAAAAGCAAAAAAAGAGAAAAGTTATAAAAAGTTTCAAAAACTGCTGGTTTTTGTTCAGTTTTAGTGACTTTTAGAAGTGCAGAAAGGAATAAACTCTAGCCTTCACTTTAGCACTTTGAGTTGTTACTGTTTCATCGTAGCGCATTTTCTTGTGTTCAGCATAACTGCCAAATTCCCCGTGGTTTCTGTGGCCGAAGCTGTATTTCCTGGTGATCAGCTTGCCAGCATTTTCCCCTTGTCTTTGTTATCTAAAGAGAAATACTATGTATGTGTTGCATCTCGATCGTAGAGATTTTTGGGAGTGCGCGGGAAATTTGGGTCCCCTGTGACTGAAATTAGAGTGAGAGAGCTAGAAATTGGGGCTGAAAATAGGGGATGAGGAGGAAGACAAAGGAAGATTCTGTTTTTCTTAAAATTCCGAAAATTTTTCTTTTTCTGTTGCAGGTGTGCTTCGAATGTGGTGCAAGCAATCCTCAGTGGGCAAGTGTAACATACGGAATATGGCTGTGCTTGGATTGTTCCGGTCTGCATCGTGGCTTGGGTGTGCACGTCAGGTGCTGTTCAGTTAACCTACCGACGAAAGCCAGTGTGAAATTGCAAGCAACGCACCCCTCTCCCCTCCCCCTCCCCGTCGTCCGCGGTAGGTTTAGCTTCCATTAGACATGAAAGTTGCAGTGATTCTTTGACTGAATTTTTTAGCAGTGATTTATTTAGGCGGGGAAAATTGCCTTTTTGCTGCTTGGAATGGAAAGGAAACGGCGAGAGAAGAAGAAATCCAGTTAATTTAAAATAAAATTTTTGCAGCTGATACAAAATTTAGCTAGAAAAGCATGACATTGATGGGGAAGGCACAAAAAATTTTGGAAAAAAGGTAATAGGACTAGCTGGTTGTGTTGAATCATGACGAAAGACATATAGTTAATTTGTAAAAAACGCCCAG